ACATGGGCCTGAGGAAGAACAGTAGAAAAAGCATTTCCTGCTGATCAATGATGAGCTCTAGCTGCTTTAAACAAACACGCAATCAGAGAAACCAACCCGAAATTGGTTGACTGTTGCTTGAAAGTTCACCCACCGTCAAAAACTCGAAGATTTAGACAGAAATATGCGAAACAGACCTTGGCATTTACACAAGCATCTCGCTAAGAAGACACTTGTCTATGAAGTTGACACATCGAGGTGAAGCTAACTATTAAAATAGGAATAGCTGGGCGGGTATGAGAGAAACCACTGGCCTGAAGAGTTTGACTATAGCATACTTGTATATAAAAGGGGTCATGCTAACTCATTACTCTAACCGTTTTCTATCTCTCTACTACTACTCTGTTTTTTAGTTCCTATAAGCCGATTGTAAGATGAATTCTAGGGTAGTCACAAATTCTGAATCTCTCGTCTGCCAGCTTTATACTTACTCAGTCGAGCGATTTTGTCTGTTCCGATTACGACAAAAATTATATGACTGAATTTTAAAAAATGCATATTATGAAAGGTAAGAGTCGTGGAAAAACGGGCGACTGGTTATCTGACCCAAAGCCGAGGCAAGTCAATTATTATCAAAAAACTGGCAAAATATGAATTCAACGGACCGAGCGAGGGTCTTTGGCTCCAACAAGATGTCAGGGCACGCAGTTTTAAACCAGCAACCGAAATGGCCTCATATCAATGGACCAAATAAGCTAGCAATTCATCGGTAGCCTATTTATCCTGTCTTACTTGCGTCGTGGGGTGATCCCTGGAGCCCAGATCAGAAAATGAACAGTTCCGTGTCCTAAGCCGTCAGTTGAAGCAGGTAAAAATGATCAATTGACTTAAAAAGTTCGTCTGCCATATGTGTACCGCCGACTAAACAATTTCCCCTTTCAAGCTTACTTTCACAAAAGCAAGCTGCTAAACAAGGCGTTTCATGAGGGCATTGCAGACTATCTGCGTCATTTTGGAACAACAGGCGTAGGCGGAAATCGATAATGACGACGACCCCTTCTGTGTGGATCTACAAATCAGTCAACAAACAAACCGAGAACTCCCGGAGTTTGGACGCCTAAATACGACCGGACTAGATGGTATTATTGTCTTCCTTAGACAATTGCTTGATGTATAGGAAGAGACAGACTAGCTGACACATAAATCAAAGAAACCGTAATCTGCCGACAGGTTTTCCCGGCCGCAATAACGCGGCTAAGATTTAGAATGTTGTAAAATTATTGAAAATTACTGTTCATGGTAGCAGACAAAAGATAGTGAGACCCAGCAAACATTGAGATACGAAATAAACCCATATTAAGTCTCAATAATACGATAATTTCGTTCAGTGGCTTGTCACCGGCATGAATGCGAGACCAGATATTCGCACTACAGGGCATTTATCAATTCCACCATAACTGCTAACAACCAATGAATGTCTCCTTTGTCAACTGCGCAGCTGCGTTCGATAGCCCTCGTCGTGCGTCACTGCGACAAATAATGAGACCAGCTGGTGTATCTGCAAAAATCATCACAATGATCAAGGCTCACTACCGTCCTATCACTGCACGATTTCTGTTTCATAACAATCTATCCAAACTGTTTGATATTTAGTATGGCGTTGTACAAGGTTGTATTCTGTTATCCATTCTGTTTGACTACACTATTGACTATGTTCCTGGGAAGGACCTACATCATTTGAAAGTATTTGAATTTCATTTGACCCAATGGTAAAAAACTCAGCAGCCTTGGTGGGATTCAAAACCATGACGGCAAGAGCAAGGTTGCAATACAGCCAACTCTCTAACCAGTGCAGTTATGATGTCCTGTCAGGAGTCACGAGTTTAATCATATTCAGGTCGATTTACTAGCGCAGCTTACTGCAAGGTATTGGATCCAGCAATCTCGATACATGAAGCTGACTGTCCAAGCAGTATTTACTAAGCAATCAGACTGAAGTTCACAAGATAACCGCCAGGCTTACTTAATTAATAGGGGGTTTAGTCATTCAAGAAATAAATTTTACCCAACAATGAAACATTTGTCGGTATCGGTCGGATCCAAACCCACGACAGCAAAGGCAAGGTCTTATTACAGTCAACGTTCTAACTATCTGGGGTAGAAGGCCCATCAGAATCGAATTTAACTGTTGAAAATGCATCCGGACACCGGTGTACTGTTCTCGACTACGCTGACGAAATTGCTTTGCTAGTTGTCAGTGTTGGTGATCATGGGTGAATGAAGTGGCTAGACAGTCGGTTTAGCCTTAAACCCTGGGACGACCAATGTGTTCTCCAGCTGCGTCTTTGACCACGAAAAAACACTCTCAAGATTAATGGAAGTAAACTTGACGAAGTAGACAGAAGCATATGCACCAGGGTGAGGCTACTTGATGCTACTTGCCGGATTTTCTCAAACTTTCGAAAGTGTCTATGGACCCCCTAGCGACATCTTTATGCTCCCGAAGATCTGCGTGTATTATGCGCCTGCGCGATTAGCCCTTCTTTACGGTTGCTGGTTCTAAGCTGTGCGCGTGGAACATGAGCGAAAACTAAAGGTTTTTGATCACCGCTACTTGAGAATCAGCACTCGAATGAAGTACACCGACTTAGTCCAAATGAGACAGTACGCATTCGTTGTGAGAACATCGCAATGATATGCCAGATCATTTCAGATAATGTATTGACGTGGTTTGGGCCCGTTCTTAGACATCTGTTTGACGAATTCAGTGCTGCTGCTGCCGTCGCTCTGTCGCCGTTGCCCACTTAGTGGCTTTGAAGGGAAGTTCAACTCACAACTTGATTCGACACAGTTCCTCAAGACACAAAAGTGATTTCTGAACCTTCGGTATTTTGTCTGCATCGTTGGCGAAGAGAATGAGTTGAATTTTCCAAATGAGCTGTCGCAGATCGAAAGGCGCAATTTGTTACATCGTCGATGCTGGCTAGAGCAGTTAAGAGAACGTTTTTACCAGGTACTAACAAAAACGAATAAAATGATGGATCCCACCGAAGATCCTGGCGAATACTCAAAAACGGAAACTTACTCATACTACTTTTACTTAACCTCTGTGACGTTCTGCTATTCAAAACTTCCGTTTGTTTATTAAGAAGGATCAGATACAAGGTGGATCCAAAACCAGTTACCCCATTCAAAATTCACGCGGCTTAATCTGCTGATTCTTAAATAGGTTCCTTTGTTTATGCTTTTTTCGGTAGAATTAAGACGCCAACACCAGTAGACTTCAATGTGGTTAAGGTTTACTTTTTAGGACAACAGTGAAGGAAGTTCCACTTCAAAAATAACAGTCATTTGTATGAAACGCCCATGGACACAAAATGGAGGAAATCACATAAATACAGTAAGCGAACTTTCTGTCCGACTGGAATTTAAAGTATTTAGGGTAAGTGGTTTACTAGCCCGTGGCGCCTAAGCAGACAAAATGATAAAAGGAGATTAATGCACCCCATTGGGTCATTAAGAGCGTCGAGTTCTGGAAACCCGGAAGTTCCGCAATGGAAAAATGAACCAGAACAAACATGTTCGGACGATCACTATTTTATGACCAAGTGGCTGAAAACATGTGCAAAAGATCCTCGTGTTGAGAACAAAAATATTACAAATGTCTCGGTAATAATTATTAGATTCTCCAATACCTGGACGTAGCATCAATAATTCGGAAATCTTCCGCTCTTGGGTTAACATATGCTAAATGCAGAACGCTAACTTCTAACCGACTTTTGTGCCTCTAAATATGTATGAGGAAGTCTATTGAGATAGAAATCAGATATATTTCGCTACCAGTTGAACATCGAAGGATTCCAGACAAATGTAAAAATCAGTAACTGACTTCATAATTACATATTCAAATGAGTGTCCACTAAGAAGTTTGTTTCTTAGGATGCATAACCCCGCCAGCCAGACGTACACGGGCCCCGTGCTAGAACTACCTGGGGGCTGCTTAATCACTTTGACATAAATCAGTCACACTACAAGACTGAGATACAGACACATACTCGGTAATTTCGCCCATAGATATGGGCTGAGCGCATGACAAAGAAGGCCCCTTCTATCTTATCCTGTGCAGGCATGATAGTGATCGGAAGCTTGACCACCTCATAAGACCCTAGCTTCGAATTCCAGAAAAAAAAAGCAGCGTAATCTGCCTGACCATAACGGCAGATCAAACGGAGTTACGCGCACGCAACACTCATGATTGTTAGTACGAGAAAGTAGGAACGAGTGACGTTCCACAACTGGATAAACAAAAAAGTACGGTAAAAGATGGCCTTAAGGAGCCTAAAATGAACAGGTGAATTATTAAAATTTAAAAATGAAATTACTACATACGCGCAAACAAAACTACAAGAAACGGTATTGAAACTTGACATGGCGGTAAGGCGAAGCCAATCGGCAATAAAATCAACAAAAAATATAAAGGAGTTTGCACTAATTATTAATTTACTCTTTTGCTGATTGAGTATGCCCGAGGGAACTGAAATAGAAATAAGAGTACGTACCATCGGGAATGTCCTGTTTGTTGGCGAAAACTAAAATGATAGCATCTTGCATCTCTTTGTCATTGGCAATGCGATGTAGTTCTATCTGGGCCTCTTCGATACGATCCCGATCAGCACTGTCAACCACAAAAATAAGGCCTTGTGTGCCGGTGTAATAGTGTCTCCAGAGAGGACGGATTTTTTCTTGTCCGCCGACGTCCTTAAGAACTATTTTCAAAAAGAAGTATCTTACCCAAACGTTAAAGCGAAGTTTTCCGTAAGTAACGGTTTCCACATTAAAACCGACTGTGGGTATTGTAGCCACGGAATCCCGCAGCTTAAGCCGATAGAGAATTGCTATCAAGTAGAAAAAGAAGCCATTATTTACTTGTTTTGCCAGCCGCATCTAGGCCAAGCATAAGTATGCGCATCTCTTTGTTGCCAAACAGCTTCGAAAATAACTTCCCCATGAGAAGGAAATGCGAAAAGCAACCGCAAAAGTCTTTTGCGTTGTTACGCCAACCAATTTAAAATGTTGACATCTATGTCCCTCGTTTTTATATGGTATGATGTTATCAAATTGGACGAAATATCTAGATATTCATCCATGTGTTAAACTTATTTAGCAATCAGCCGGATGTACGCGAAATTCTATTCCATGTGTTTTAACTTTATACCATTTGAAGATACTTGGAGCATTAATTTTAAGCAAGTCAACGATTACCCTGAATTGCCAAATGTTTGTTCAGTTTTACTTTCCACATTTGTTATGTGCCTAAATTTGTCCTTTCGCATTATGGGATGTACTCACAAATAAACATAACAGTCTTCTTTCACTTTGTTAGGACGGCCCGGCACATCACTCACCACCTTTGCCGTCCGATTATCATGCCTGACAAATGACCACCAAACTGCGGATCAGTCTCGCCTACATTGTCAGAGATTAATTCAGTAGTGTGCGCGCCGCTGAGGTATGCACCACATTTAGGTGACCGACATCACGCGAAGATCTGCTCGTGGTGGCATTCACGAATGGTCCAAATGAATTAGAAAAACCACACAAATTTACAACCCAGAAATGCGACGCCACGGACAGAAGCACTGAGGATTTGATTTTCACGCAAAAAAACTGTCGCAGCAAACTTGTTTTCTGTTATTCTGTTGGTTTTCTATACTACTGGGGATTAAAAAATGGCGACGCTGGTAAATGCGCGCAATTATCAATAAAGAATATATGAGGGAGTTATAGGAATCCCAAGAAGCCAATTTCATGGCTCTTCCTGCAGGACCTTAGAAAGACTGAAAGTAAACAGAAAGTAGCGACAGAAGGGAGGAACTAGAGGACAGGATAGCGGATAGGACTTTCAACCCTGCCCATTCCGACGTACAGATTCAAACAGCGATTCTCCGTTCTGTGAAAGACAATAAACTTCTGATCCATTGGAAACTTCTTCCTTGGATTCCTACGTACGAAATTTTCTGACAAAGCAGCCTGTGTAGAAGGTAATCCAAGGCCTTCTTGAAGTTACACAATATGACTTCAACTACCTAACGCTTATATGTTGCCTTTCTCCACTTCTCACTCGCGTAAAGGGCGCTCATGACGAAGGAGCATTCTGGAAGGAAGTCGTGCTGGATATCACATAATATTTTGTTTCATCCCAGATATCCCATTTAAATGCCTCTTTATCACATCAAAAATCTCCACCTCCACACGTTATCTCAGCAAAATTTCATTACATATTGCAAGGACCATCTGTAATTCTATACATCTTGTATTAATCCAGTCTACTTATCTGTAAAGCGATAGAACATATCTCCCAATTCCGAACTGCACATTTTGACAAACTTGAACGCAAACGTGGCTGATATATTTTGTTCCCCGAGCGAGAACCCCCGGTTGCCAGGGAAATCGCGAAAATATCCCCCTAAAAGGACAGTGCGGCAACTTAAGAGGACGGTTATGTAGCAGCCAAAGTTCCACCGGAAGCCTATCAAATTTTTTTCGGCGATACGTATTTGTAATCGTTTTTCAAAATTTCGGCTACAGCTCATCCGAAAAGGCACTATCTAAGCAAACTGCATAACGAAATAAAAGTATGACAATGTGCACAGATAGAGCTGAGTCAAACGCGTCCGGAGGAAGGATATCAAGCCTTTAGAGAGACTGGAGAGCTGAAGAGATATCTTAAAGAAATAGAGATAGTTGGGAAAGCCAATTACGGATATCCTGGTCAGAATTAAAGAGGTCCGGGGCAAGGAACGACTTATCGGCAATACAGTTGAGGAACACAATGCTAACTTACGGCAAGTGCATTGCATGACGCCGGCCTAACATCTAATCCAAAGATTT